TTTTTTTTTTCAGTGATTTATATCCCTGCTAGTATACCACATTTACTGTTTTATCTGATCAAATCGTATTGTTTCAAGTTTGACACTTGCAAAAATGCTTGTAGTTGCTTTGTAACATGGAAAAACATTCCTCTAAAAGTCAGAATCTGAGCTTAGATATTTTGCTGTATAAAAATTAGATAAGAAAATGACAGGTTTAAGACCGTATTTGGACTATTTTTTTGCACGATGGTTGTTCTGTTTTAAGTGCGGCGAGTTAATAATTTATTTCAAACAAAAGCAGTTCCAGCATGTCTTTTGCAGGCTCAAATTTCTTATATCAGGCGGATTCCCTGTTTAGCCCAAAAGAAAAATTTGCAACGGTTGAAAAGTGTAGAACTTAAGCACAAACAATCATATGGTTAGTAGTTGAATATCGGTATCTTTGCTACTGCAACAGTGCTTCTCACCCTTTTCCCTGCCAACCAATGCCTGTTTCAACGGCTACAGCACATCGCTAATACAGAACTCAAAATTTGACCAGATAGTCAGTGGTGGAACTGAACAAAAACATAATTTTATAGCTTAAATACAAAACTCGGTATTTTGTTGCTTGAGTTGATTTTTATTAAGCGTTTTGCTGAAAATATTAATCCATCCTTTTTTATTTGGCTAGTAGAGCACACTGTTCTTTGATCATTTGGTCGGCAGTTCAAAGCGGCATAATGCTTGAAAGAAAAGAAAATAGGACGACAAAACTTTTGATACTTATTTTAGAAACTTTTGAAATCAATAGAGATCAAAAAATTGTTGCTTTGTGTAAAAATTATTCTATACTAAGCGTTTTGAGTGTCAGATTTTTTAACTTAGAAAGATGTTTTAAAGGATTGGCTTTTAACACACGAAGGATAACGATTTTACGTTTCTTACTAATTTGCTGCATGTCTTTACCGTTTTCCACTTTCTTGCAATTAAATTTTTCATAAATACTTGTAATTTTCGAATTTGATAATATATGCTTTTATTACTGTCAGTACCAAGTAAAGTCGAGAGAATGCTGTTTTATTCTCTTTTCGGTAAGTGTGGTTTAAACTGAAATTGAGAAAAATGTTTTATAATGCTAAAAAAAAATTATAAATTTTATCTTTTTTTTTCAGGAGGCTGCATCTGCTGCCGCACCAGTAGAGAATGTTCAGGGTATTGTCAAATTCATTAATAAGAAGAGAAACATATAAAGATAATAATTTTACACTTGTTTTTTAAATATATCTTGCATGCCAAAATTCTGTCGTTGAGTATTTATCGATAAGTTATCTACGTTACCTTAAAAAAGTGTAGAATTTTCAAAGGGGTTGAGGATCATATTTAAATACATCAAAAACTGCAGAACAAAATTGGAGTTCTGGATTGGTAATTTGGGAAATCCTTACCAGAATAAAACCTCATAGTGGTCTTACTTCGTATCAAATTGTTGTAAAGACACATAAAAAGTTTGTTTTTAAATGACTAATGTTTTATATTTTGTTAAGAAAGGAAAAATAAAAAGCACCGAGTATAATGATTTATTCAATTACTCCAGTAAACGACGCAGCCATTTTACAGTGAAATGAAACCTCTTCTACCTGATGACTTACCACCTGATCTGAAAAATATGTTAAGTAGATGCCTCAGCGATGCAGCTCAAGAAAGACCAAGTTTTGAAGAAATCGTGAAGATGTTTTCCTCTTTAAAGGTGATCGTCTGCGTCCAGTCTTATTTCACAGCGTTATTTAACAGCTTTTTCCTTTAAGATTTTAAAAAATGCTGGCTTACTTTGTTAGTAAGTTGATTTAAATTTTAGATCTGCTGTCATTTAAAACAGTTTTAGAGCAGTTCTTGGTTCCAAAAAGTCGATGAAAGCCAATGGAGTGAATTATGCCTTCAATGGAACTCTTTTGCAGAAACAGAAGTAAAACGTGAAAAGAATGAAATGGATGAGTATGTAAAACAAATCTTGGAGGTAATGGATAAGAAAAAGTACTAAATGACAATAGTTAACTGAGCTAGAATGCCATTAGGTATTATAATTAAATCAAGAAATTTAGAAGATATTAAAAGGCGCTTTTTATTAAATACAGTCAGCAATACAGTCGTCGTTTATTGAATGTATAATATTTCATAATGCAGAATGTAGAACTGAAATACTTTCATAATTAATAAGCCATTTTCCGCTTTTGATAGAGGTGTTACATAACTTCTTTTTAAGATGTCGAAGGCGATGAAAGTGCCGACAGCAGCACTTTGTATGATTCCGATTAGAGAGCGTTTTTTAAATGACGTCAACCAGGATTAACTTATTTGGCTTTTTATTGTAGAATTAAAACACTGTGACGAGGTAAACGCCGGTAGAGGGTTTAGGAGAGAAATGAACTAATACCTGTGAGCAGGTATTAAATAAAGACAAGCTGTAATAGGGAAGCAAGCAGTTTTCCGGAAGATTCATTCTTTACAACCTTTAACGGCAATCAACTTTTCACCAGTAGCTTTTATTTTATTGCTTATAAGTACATTTAAAAGTTTTTGCTTTTATTAAAGGTTAAAAAGACAAATAATATTCCTATTAAATATTTTTGCAAAATCTAATCTAAAAAAAACAACAATATTCCTGTCATTTTCAGAATTTTGCCGCTGATACGCACATTTTTTAATGTTGTATTTCTCTGTGTCCCTTTCGTTTATTCGTTTTTTGTTCCTTCTGTAACTATTAGTCTGTAGAATATTTTATTTCTCTCAAATTGCAAAAAACTTAAAGAATACGATAAACTATTATCAGTAAAGCCACTTGGTAACGGTCATTTGCACTGGAAACAAAAAATAATGGCAGAGAAAAAAATCTAATGTTACTAGAAACTTTTGCAAAAATAAAATACGTTGTTTGGCGGTAAATACGATAACCGTCTATAAGAAGCTGATCATAATCAGATGCTTCAGAACACTGAACAATTTGTATCTGCCACTGTAATTTAATGATATTAAACTGTTTAAAAAACTGTCGTTAATAAAGAAGCCGAAAATGCAGAGTTGATACATAGAACTAGTGCATTTATAAGAGTTATAATATATTTTCTTTTAGAATTAAACGTTTTTTCTACAGAATGACAAAAAAGTTTGCCTTCTAAACCGACTTTCACTCTAACTTGAAGTTCTACCATCAGAACTTTTGAAGTTTATTAACTACAAGTTAACTACAAAAACTGATACCCTGTAACAACCACTAAACAATGTATAGTTTTTCAAATGTCTTTTTAGCAGCTGAAGTTACTCGACCTGTCATTTCAAAAAGCAAGAAGTTTCTTCAGCACTTGTTGAAGAATGATATTTTTTTATAATAGTAAAAGCAAAAACTTGTCAGAGAATTTGCAGTTTAATTGTTTTGATTGCAGATTAATTCCGACAGGTAAGCCAGTTATAGAATTTCAGATTTTTGTGAGGTAAAAGCATATAAAACAAAATTTTTGAGATGTGAATAACTTATAGTCATTATGTTGGATGTTTTAATGTCAACTTATAATTGGTTTTTTACTTTCTTTGTAAGCATACTAAATTAAAAACACAAAAGAACTGTACTGATTAGACATATTTGATTTGAGCATAGATTTGAACCAATTTTTTCGTTTCTTACAAGCACAAAAATGAAATAAATTAAACAAGGCACGTGAGACTATTTGTAGTTTTTTTGCAAGTGATCTAACAAACTTTGGGGACAATCTAACGACTAAATCTGCTGCTTATTATTTATAAGAGTCATTTTGTGCTTATAACATATTGTTAGGTTTGTTTTTTGTGGCAATTATTTTTATTAACATTCACTCAGTCTTAAAGCGTGTTCCTTGTCATATCCTGCAGCGCTAGGCAAATGTCCGGTAGAAATCTCTTTCATAATGTGTCACAGTCGCGACACAAAGTGCTGACAGTCGCCAAACACAATTTGCATATAAAAGCTGACTGTCTTGTCTGTGTTTCACAGACAACATAAAAAGTTTCTACACCAGTTTAACTATAAAAAGCACAGACGTCGTATTAAATAGCAGTTAGAATCTTCGTCGTGGAGGGCACGAACAGTAGTTAACATCCTGACCAGTTCTACCAAGTATGCCTGGGGCTCCTGGGTAACCAGGAGCACCCTTATCACCCTGTTCGCCTGGTTTACCCTGAATTCCCTGGAATCCTGGCGCTCCTTGGTTCCCGTCATTCCCGTTTTGTCCGGGGAACCCTGCTGGGCCTGGAGACCCCTGAGGCCCTGGAGCTCCAGGTTCACCTATACCACCGGCAGTTCCAGGTGCGCCTGGTACTCCTGGTTCACCACGTTTGCCAGGTTCACCCAGCTCACCTAAAATTATACTAGTTTAATTTACTGCAGTCTGACTCAGAGAGAATATAAAGAACAGAACTAGTTCGAATGCTTTTTAAACATTGTTAACTTATATTTATAGTCAACTATGTTTATTTTTTATCAAGCTTTTAAAGTTACTTACCAGGGAATCCTGGTTTTCCAGGCTGTCCCGGATAGCCAATTTCTCCCTTAGGTCCTCTAGGTCCTACCTCTCCGTTCTGGCCTGGTAAACCAGGTCTTCCAGGAGGTCCTGCAATTAGTTACTATGCTAAAATTTTCTCACTTTTTTTAACAGGAGGCCTAATTAATAACTCTCTTTTATTATTTACACAATATGAAGCAACAATTCAATAACTCTTTTCTACAGTGATACTGCCAACAACATTTGCATTCAATAATACCAAACGGTTTTAAGTATAATCTGAAAAGTCTGATTTGAAAGAATTTATAATTAAACAAGTTTAATTACCTGGATATCCCTTTGGTCCAGGTGGGCACACACGGCAGGTTCTGTCTTCACTGAGCATAACCTGTGGGAATGTTCCTGGAAGACCAGGTGCTCCTGGAGTTCCTGGCGCTCCTGGTGTTCCATCTTGTCCAGGTACACCAGGTAGTCCAGGAGGTCCGGAAGGACAAAAATTAGACTGCTTGCATGCTGAAAGCAGGAACGTGACGGTTGTTGTCATCTAGCTTTGAAGTTTTTTGAAGTCCTGTAGAGCTTAAAGTTTTTTAGTTTTTTATTATTTATCATTAAACTATGGTGGTACGTCTAAGATATATCTTATTCTAGCCTGCTCACCGTTAAGAGTATTTTTTGTCTGCAAATTTCTTCAGTTTTCTTAGGTTTTAAATCACTTTTTAGGTGCTTCTTCAGTAAATATCTCCAGAACACTTGTATTTTTCCACTTACTTTTAAACGGTCTCATACCCGCTGCAATTACTTTACATTAAGTAGCTTCTGCAGCCTAGTTTTTGCTGTATTTTGGTGAATTCACTTAAATCTACAGGCGTGAAAAACGAAAAAAAATTTAGCTCTAAACATATGAAATATTGGAAACAATTTTGGTTATGTCGCTATTTTTTGAAATTACTATAAATATACAAGAAAGCTTTTATTGTCTTAATTTCTCAGATTTATTTATATGCTTTTTTACTCTCTGTATTAAATAATTAAAAGGCTGGAGAGATTTTCAAAAAAATAAATATTTCTTCATAATTATTAAGAAAAACACTGATTTTCTATTTACAGGTTTTAAAGCCTTCTTATGGTTTAAGAACACTCCATCTAAAGTTGTTAAAGTTGACCTGATCAGTTAGAAAATTTGTTTGATTTTAACAATTTCTGCTCTTTTATTTCTTCACACACAAGTGTTTTGCAGTTTTGGCAACTTACTTTTAACTTTTGAGTTAAAAAAAACAGGTAAGAACTTAGAAATAAAATCGCTAAAAGTCAAAATAAAAAAGCTGTAGTTTGACTAAATGTGTTTCAGAATCGTAGAAATGTTGAAATCAAGGTAATTTACAAGGGCATTTTTTGTAACAGTCAAACTAAACTAAAATGTCATCTATATCGTTGTTCAGTAAATTGTTACGACTTACTGCATTTTCCTGGCTCATCAGTTTGCCGACGTTTTCTGAAGGTCAATCCAAGAGTTCTTTTTCGCATTTCAAAATGAATACTATCTTGAAGCTGATTGAATTGACTGATTTCCTTAAAAATAAACCCATATAATTCACGTTCAAATTGCTAGAATTGTCAGTTATATGAATTATTAAAAAACAGCATTTTTATAGATTGATTACAGAAAAAAGTTTACCGTTGAAATGTCTTCTTGAATCTCGGAGATCTTTTCGTACAGTGAAGGCAAAAGAACGACACATCCCAAAAGCGCTAAAAAACTAAGACCAATCGCCAAGTTAGCTACAGCTCTAGCAGACATCACTAAAAAAAAACACTTAGCTTTACTTGTTCTAATTGTTTTTGCTTTAGCATATTTCCGTACATATAAACCGCAGTCAACAATGATACTAACTCAGAAAAGAACTATTTAATTATACAAATTAAATTAATGACTAATGATATCATAAAGTAGTGCAATTAAAATTGGTGCATCTCAAAAAATTAAAAATTTGAAGTAATTTAGCAGCTGGACAGTTTTTCAGTTACAGCTATGTAAAAAAAATTAAAATTTTTTTTAATTTATTAATACACTAAGAAGAGGGAGAATTTTTAAGAAGTTAAAGATGAAAAACAGATAAGTAATTGGCAGTCTTGTTGCATCAGTGTGTCTGAAATAATTGGCAAGATCGATTAAGTGGTTGACGGCTTTTTTTATAGTTGTCAGATGCATCCGGTTGTTTTGGCTGTATTTTTCTAAGAGTCTCTAATATATCAGAAGAAAACTCGTTTTTTTTTTTTGCAAATTTTCTGTTGTATTTTGTTTACAGTTGCTTCGTTACACTGTTTTATCTGATTATCAAGAAAATCTTAGCTACACAACTGTTATTATTTTGGTTTATTTTGACTAAAAACTCTGGTTTTTTGTGTCTATAAAGTAATAAGTTATTTACACTTGACCTGTATAAAAATATAATCATTAACAAACTGCTTTAATATACTGAGCTAAGGTTTAACATCAACTGGTGATATAAAGAAATTTAAAATAAATTTTTATCTGATGGCTTTTAGAGGAAAAACACTACAAGACAAAAAAGTAAATAAGAAACTTACAAAGCCCAAATTTTGTTATTGGTTATTTATGAACACAAAACGACAAATGCTGATGTTACTTCGTTTTCCAAAACATACCTTGTGTTTTTTTTAATAAATTCTAGTTACCTTTTTTAACTGTACTGTTTATTCTTGGAGTTATTAAAAGCATTGTTTTTTTCGGTAGATGCTATCACCAAACAATGGCATATTTCCAATTTAATCACTGTTCGTTCGAGTAACATGGTTTTTTTCCTTATATTTTTAACTGACAATATTCGACATCATTTGGTCGCTGTATAATATGAAATGTTGAGAGTTCTTTTCTGTTTAGACCAAAAACGAGAAGCATTGATTAATCACACCTAACTAAACCTTCAACAGCTTCTTAAACAACTTTTTTAAACTAGAAAATTTAGGTCTTCCTGCTTTGTTTGATTTTTCTGCTTTCCAATACGTTTAATTTCTAAAATCTTCTCAAAAGTATATTGCATTATATAGGATCATAACCATCGTTTACGTCAAGTCATCCCGAAAGTTCTCTGATGGTCCATATACCATCGCAATGCTGTAATCCAAATGTAATTATTTGCATAGTCAAATAAAAATCATTGCATTCGTCAATCAATCTGTAAATGGCATTTAGATTAAGTTTTGTCCTCACTTGTACTGACACTTCTGATACGCCGTTGAAGGAGAAACTAGTTAGAGATATGAACTGTCATTTAGCAAAGAATAAATTTTTTTTTACAAATAAGTGGGTGAATTGTGCAGTTAATTATTAAATACTTTGAAGAATTTCGAGAAAAACTTACTTTTTGTGGATTTTGTACGCTATTTATTGAATACTGTTGAAAGTCACCAATGTACACTAAGCTGTTTTTATTCCCTTCTATAAGTTATTATAATCGTTTAAAACAGTTGGGTTTTTTATAAGTTTCGATGTTTTTTTTAGGATTACACTATCTCAGAAATTCTTCTCTAAACTATCTCATGTTTTTTTTTTTTCAATAGGTTTTTTACCAAAATTTTATTTGAAAAAAAATGAGGGTTATTAAAGTAAATTTAGTGGTGCTGTATTTGAAGTAGCTGTTAACTTCACGTTTTGTTAAGTCAAAAGGGTAAACCAGCGGTTGATGAGGGAATTTCACTAAATGAATGTTTTTAACGTCAGAGCAACATAAACTTTGCGATTTTTTGGCACGGCTTTTAACACTGTTGAACTAACAGGTCGTTTTTGAAAAAAAAATAGAAAAATATTCTTTAATTTAAGAAGCTAACAGTGGTCAGTATTTGGTAATATTTAAATTATAGAAAAATACTTAAGATAAGGCTTTGTGTAATTTAGTAAACGATAATGTTTTGAAAGAAAAACTCAGAAAGTAAAGCAAATATAGGATTTCAGGTTTAATTTGGAAACTATCCTACAAAGCTAAAGTTACAGCGTGAGATTCACTACTGCTTATATTTTCCGACAAACAATAAATCTTTGTTCGTTTATCAACACATAACTAATTTTTAGTTCTTTACTACTTTTACTTTTTAGTCTACATAAAGGTAGCCAAGAGCTTTATAGATTTATCAAAAAAAATCAAAAAAAAAATAAACACGTGTAATTTATGACAGCTGATTTAAAAGAAATACTAAACACTCAATTTGTCTTTTTCTTTTGTTTCGCTTGCAGCGGTAACCACAGCAATTACGAATTACAAAAAGCACCTTTAAAAAAATGAAACACATCGTACATGTCAAAGTGATTATAGTCGTTGTATTTATGTATAATCTAAGCAATAAACAGTCTACTATCAGGTGTTTTATAACAGCTAATCTGATTAGCTCTGCCTTACTGATAAACTGTGAATAAGTAAAAATACTGTTGAAGAAATAAGATATTCCACAGACTGATTACAGCTATATATTGACTATCGCTTTTCAGTACTGTTAAAATTGCAGTATATGAAAATTATTATAGAACATAAATTAACTGTTCGAAAAAATGCAGTAACAACATAACGCATGTACTTCATTGACCACAAAATACAGTGCCCAGACTAATGTTATAATTTATGTTACACAATTAATGCTTTGAAAAAATTAAAAGAAATTTTTTCTTCGATTATTTGAACAATATTTTTAAAGAGTTAAAAAAGCTTGACAAATTAATATACTAAGAAAAATTTATGAACATAACTTGATGTACCGTTTGATATAGCATAAATTCATTCATTCATTTCTCTTTATTTTTTTTTTTTTATTTTTGCTTTGACCATGACGTCTTCATCAATTAACAACAGCAAACAAGTACTTAAAGTTGTTCTTACAACTATTCTTTCAGCTATTTCACAGATTACAATATATGGAGTAATAAAGTTGCATAAACTAAAATTAAATAATAAGAGATTAAAACTTGTTTTACAGATATTGAATGAACTAACTTATCGTTCTGATCTTATAAATTTTTCCACTACTTAAACAATTTTCACACTTTTCGCTTAGTGGACTCTTAGAATCCTAATACGAAGTGTTAAATCATAGAACGACTATTTCGTATTTTGATGCTCTCTCTACTAGAACATGTTTATTTGCTAAATTTTTTTCGCAACTTTTTTCTCAATTGAAATAGAAAAAAATAGCCTAGAAAGGTGTTTTTATTGAACGATTACTCTTTGGACAGTCATATTTTTCACTAATTTGTAGCTTGTCAGTGTGATAACCATCTGTTGACACCTCGTCTTTTATTTGCATCAACCAAAATCTCTTTCCACTTTCGGTCTGTCCAGGTCTCCCCCAATTGAATTATTTCGGCTCAGTAGTTTCGGACGACATGTCAAAAGTTGAAATACATATTGATCTATATAAGGCAGCCATACTGAACAGGAATATTTGCTTTTTTTTAACAAGCAGGACAAAGAATTTACCATTTTTATCATACCGCTGCAACACATATGTTCTTTCTTTTGAGTAGTAGGAAACCTTTATAGCTAAGAACAGGCATCTATCGGTGCTACGAAAAGTTTGATTGTTGTTATAATTGTTGGAAAGCTTTGAAGGAAAATTTTCAGTGTATAACGCTGAAAATGTTCTACTTAAAAAGGAAAATCTTTTTCAGAAAACCTGTTTTTCTTTCTTTTTTTCTATAATTTCAGTCAGTTACAGCAGATAGAAACTAAGTAAAAAATTGAAATTGTTAAAGCAGTAAATATAAGAAATATAATATTATCAGAAACTATATGCATTGATATCAGTAAAATATGATCAAATAGTGGTGATATGCAGCACTAGCAGTGTTGAAGATTTGTTGGGCAGATATAAATACCCGAACCGTCAAGGCGGATCATTTAACAAACATATCGGGTTTTGGTCTATTGAAAATTTTTCATTATTCAGAAACCAGCATTTATTCAAAAGTTGTATTCTAAATAATTAGATTTTTTTTTTTTGAGCGTTTACTTTATACAGCAAAATTTTTTCTCACTTTTTTTTTTCTTTTCTTTACTGTTCGATAGAGACTGACGAATAAAATTAAATTTTTTTCTACCATTTTTTTTTCAGTTTTTTCTTTTTCTTCCTTTCTTCTTCCTTTCACCTCTCTTAGTGTTGGTTCGTTTTTTCTTCTGCGTCAATTTTCTTTGCTACACATTTTTTTCTATATATTACTTTTTTTTTCTTATTTTTCTTATTTACTAATTTTTCTTTAATCTATCATCGACTTATTTTGTTAAAAATACTGTTTTACAAAATAAGCGTGTACTGATCACTAAAATATCACAAATAAACTTATGTACAGCTGCACTTATGTACCACTGATTATTTTATTCAGAGTTTTGTAAATCTTTCAGAATTATTATTGCTCCAAAACTAAACAGGAAAAAAAAATTTCTCTTGAACACATTTTTGTGTTTATGTATTTTGTACATTAACCTATCTAGAACAGCAGTCATTCTTTTAGTAACTGAACGTTATCTACCCTCCGTTTAACTGTTTCTTATTTACTGTTTGCCAGTATTTATCTGTGTTGGCCTGAGTGCTATTGTCTGTTTGTCCGTAGGTATCTGTTCATATCTGTGTGTCTGTGTGTATCCGTGTTTTATGCTTGTTCATTTTTTATTCATATTGGTTTGCTCCTGAAGTTCAGTTACGTAATTCTTGACCAACCGATACGTTGTATTTAGCGTATCCCTTATGCACATTTTTGGTACTAACTTTCTGGATATTTTACATACATATTTATTTATATCTGCAAATGCATACATCAGGTGATCAACTAAATTTTCGATTGATCACTTATCTTGGTATCAAAATAGTTTGCATACACTAGTAACCTCGTTTGAAATTTCTTTGTGGCCGGCTACTGTCACTGCCATCGTCATTGTTGTCATCATCTTTGTTACTGTCATCAACATACCCACCATCATCAACAGCAACGTCATTATCCTGGTCATTATCATCGTCGTTTTGCAGCACTGTCGTCACCATAGTCGTCATGATGATCATGATCGAGTCAATAGTGATCCGTCTTCATCCCACAACAAAACAACCCCAGAACACAGCATACACCGTCAAATGTTTCAAGGTCGATTGTACTCTGGTTGTTTGTTGACGCTCATTCTACCCAGCAGCCCAATCCGTTCAAATTAAACGTCAACCCCACAACGCACAACGAATTGTGTGTATTTATGTCTAAAAATGTTGGCTACTGTTTACTGTACAGTATATGTGCTTTTTTTTTTTATCAATGTTTTTTCTCTTTTTTATTTTATTTTATTTTTATTTTTCATCTAATTTTTGACACTTTCGGTTTATGTGTGCACTGTTTGACCGGCGTAACTTGCTTGATGTATAGTGCAAATAAGAATAAAACGGAAAAAAAGAAGCAAATAAATAAATAAGAAATAAGAAGAAAGAAGAAGCAACAAATAAATAGAGGAAGAAAAAAGAAACTGGAATTATATAGATAAAAGTGTAAAAAATTTCTTTTAATTCTGCAATTCTTTTTTATTTTTTCGTTTCCTTGTCCATGCCTTTTTTTAGGTGTTATTCCACTTTTCTGTTCCTCTTTTTTTTATCCTCGTCTTCTTTTGTACCTTTATTGATCACGGTTTACTTACTGATTTCAATCGGAAAGCATCATTCATTTTGCACACAAATTATTTTTTTCATTTCTGAAAACTGTTGCTTTTTTTTTCTGCATTATTTCTATAAAAAAAGTAAAAGCAATAACAAAAGAAGGACTGTAGTTTTGTCGGATTCAACATTTCATTATTATTTTGTTGGAAAACGTTTCAGCAGACAGTCATCTAAAAGCAATTTTCTATTTCTGTTTCAATTTCTGTGGATTTTAATAAACTGAATTTTTCACCGCAGTATCAATGCATTTGTCAAAGACGGCAGTCGGAACTGTTGTTCAAACGGTGGGGTCAGCTTAGTTATCATTTGAAATAATCAAAAAAAAAAAAAATCTCTTTTTTTTTTACAACAATAAAAAAAAATTCCAATTTTTTCTTTATCTATTTTTCTGTTAACAATTAGACTGTGTATTCTTTGCAGTATTTTCAATTTTGTTCTTCTATTTGTTTTCCGACATTTTTTAACAATAACGTTTTTGCTTAATTATCTAAATATATGTCAGTTCTTAAAATAACATTTGTAGTGTTATCGAAACAAAATTGTTTTTTGTGTTGTTTGAACACCTAATTTTTTGAACTTTTTTTTTGCCTCCTGAAAGTAAACAGAGTAATATGGGTGGAGATTGAAAAGCTAAAAACGAAATTCTTTTAATTCATTTTTTTTTACTTTCACCAATTTCAAATAAACAATCTTCTTACATAAAAAATAACTTTTGTATATAAAATTTACTCGATGTTATTCAGATCTCATATTGGCCTATTTATCATCAGTATTATCGGTGTTAGCATCGTGGTCGTTTAATACCCGATAACATATTTATATCTACGCTTTTTATAGCTCAGTTTTTTACCTTTTCTTTCTTCTCTTTCTTCTTCTTCTTCTTCTACTTCTACTTCTACTTCTTCTCTTTTCTCTTCTGCTTTTTCTTCTGTCTTCTTCGTGCTTTAAATGAAGAAGGAACAGGAAGACAGAAGAATCTAAAGTTAGATGCTGATAATATGAGTTTCTAGCGTTGGAGAGTTGACAGCCAATTTTTCAACAATGATCGATTCGTACACCGTTACCCTCAAAACGTCTGAAAAATTGTAAGTTTGTTTTAAGTGTAGTTTATTAAATTGTAATTTCTTTTTTGCAAGATTCGAGTCTGACATTTGTCGATGTAACGTTTCAAAACAAAATAAAAAAAAAAAGAAAGACTTTAGAGGGGAAAGATACGGAGAAATAATATTAATATTGACACAAATTATTGGTTTAAATTGTTGTCATTGGCCTGTAAATTTCCGAATCTTCCGGCTTTTATCCTTCTTCTTATTCTTTTTAACAAAGACCTGTAAAATTTGATAAGCTACTTTAACATATTTAACAATTAATTTTGAGGATCAATATCTTAGCTTAGACATTAAGCTTGATATAAATTTAAATTTTTTCTGTAATAGTAGTCACTAAATGTCGTTTATGCAATTGACCAGTGTTTTTTAGCTGCATAACCACATAAACTTAATTATTGACTAGACTAAACTAAGCTAAATTGTTTTTGAAATTATTGAATTGTCTACGTTAGATATAATCGACAATATTGACTTAATTTTGTCAAGCTTTATTTGCTGCAAAAAGTTTATTCTGTCAGTGTAAGTTTAACTATTTCACAATTGTGAAACAGTGTCTTATAAATTGACAAAAAAGAGAAATATAGATACCAGGTAAATGATCTCTGTTGGTAATTTTAGTAAAAAATCAGTAAAAATATATGAACTTAAAAAGAATTTGAAAAACAACTTTTCTTCC